TAACTGGAGAAATTTTGGCCCCTTCTTAAGTATTGAGATGACGTCAAAAATTAAGTTCCCCGGTTCTAGATGTAAGAAATACAATACACTTCTGCTAGACAGACAGAAGTCAGACTCGAATTTGTAGTAAGCTTTTAAAATAGTCACAGGATTTCTGCATTTGGGTCTCTATGAACGTTTTTCTGGTTGCGTAATAGATGAGTTCAATCTAGGTATAGTAATAATTGAAGTGGATAAATTTGGATCACTCCAAAAGCCGCAGAAAATTAACTCGCTAAAAATACTAACCAGACAAATAATTCGAACCAAATGCCATCATGAAACTATTCAGGGTTCAAAATATTGGATGCACTATTCCTTAACGAGAGTAGTTCTGTTCAAAACTTGAACGGTGTGAAGTCATTAAAGTGAGAATTTCGAAAAGCTCTCTATTTCGTAATCCTTGGTCCTGAAAGATAACCCACGTCCAGAGGCTACATAATATCGAGATCGGGTAATGTGTAGGGCGATAACCGCGACCAAGAGTCCTGATGTCATAAGTGATTTGCACTTCACTTTAGACCTTATGCTAGGAGCTTCATAATTTAATGACCGATTTGTGATATTCTTCTTCACAGATATTTACTATGCAGAAATCATAAGGAATTAAGATTCGTAAAGAAAGGACAGCATTTTCACAACTGAAGAACATCTAGAACTCAAAACAACTATCAATCAATACCAAAGTCAAAATTTTCAATACAAACGTCGAGACTGTTTAACTATTTGAAGCTGGAACTTGGAGAACCACGAAAGCCATCATCCACAAGATACAGAAATTTACCAACACTTGTCTCAAATCCTCCGGTTTCGTTGGCCAGATACCATCAGCAACAACCCACTGTGGGATAGAACAAACGAAATTCCAGCACAGGAAGAAGTTAGGAAAAAGCTCTGGAGGTGGATCACTCAACTGCGTCACAAGGTAAGCCTGGATTTGGAATCCTGAAGACCAAAGGACACATGCCGACAATTGGAAGCACACATCAAAAGAATGAACAGCACTTGGGTAGTACTGGAAAGGAAGGCCCACAACAGAGTAGGTTGGAGAATGCTAGTGAGCAGCCTATGTTTCATGAGGAGTTAACAGGCGTAAGTACGTACAGTCATAAGGAACATTTAAATGAACTCTTTTTTGAATGTTATTGCAAGAAATAAGATTTTCTGAACAATAATTTTGAAGGAATTCGGAACTACTATACAATGAAAACTTGTATTTTTAAGTATCTAGAAATGGTGCATAAAATACCTTTAATTTGGAATGAGATATCGGTATGTCAAAAGTATTTAAGATTGATTCTGATGAGTAACAATAAACTTTTCCTAATTTCAATATGATTTGGTCAGATATTCGTCTTATATTGACTTAGTTCCTATCCTATTTTATGGCTTGGATCAAAGCTTTTAGAAATCACTAAATTAGATGTGATTGCACTGTCCAGGTAATAAATTTTCAACGCCTGATTTCATCTAAATAACGATCATCTTTGATGTAAAGCATATATAATAGTTTAGATTAGAAATAATAAATACGTGTTTTGATTTGCCTTGACTATCATTGTTTACTTGACCCGGAGAAAAATGCATGAATAAAGTTGAAAACAGCAACATTCAGATATTCACAAATACAAAAATTAATGAAGTTGAAAGGGTGAAAGCTTAACAAGAATTAACCAATGGGAGCTGTAGAAAGGCAAATCACGTGACTTTATTGTAGTAACTGTTATTTATTTATTCTGTGACCTTGAAACATGGCATTAATAACAAAAGTTCAACTGATGTATAGAAAGATTTTATTCATCCACGTGATGTTAGATGATAAAAAATAACTATAATTGTCTTTCTTGAAATAATGAAAATATTTTAGAAATAAATTTCATGAAAAAGGAATTCGAAATGATTTCTCAGTGAGCAAAGTGAACTGACGTTTCTCAGAAACGTGAAGTACAGACGAAAACTATTATCACAGTTGATGATTATATAGAAAGCTAAATTTGTTTATTAGCTCCAAAAATGAAACACATTAACTTATCTTAGATTGATATACATAATTAGGGCAACAACTTGTTTGCTTATTCGTTCCCATTATAAATTGATGGGAAGTAGTATCTCAGGTTAATGTTCAGAGTTGGTGGAGTTACAAAACTGATAGTAAGTACATTTGTAAAATATTTTAGCCAACCCTATGTTAACATATCATATTTGTGAAATGATATGTAAAAGCTGATGAGAATAGAGAATCAGGTCAATATCACTTAAATAAGCTACAATGAACACTATTAAATTATGGAAATCAACTAAATCTAATCAGATAGTGAACATACTTAATCCCAAATGGAAACTGACTTAATTGACGGGTAATTTATCACGAGAGGTTTTTGTAATCGCATTACTACTAAGGTGAGAAATCGTAACAGGTAGAATTCAACCATGTCGCCATGGAGACACTTAATACTGACAAAATTAAACACCTATCTTCCCAATGGTAAACCTGTTGACCTTAACATGTCATTGATTGAAATAGTAAGGACACGTTATCAATGTTAACCCACCGACTACGTTGGGTAGTATAAGAGTACATTAAAGTGGCTTAGAATAATCAAACATGAACATGGAAATAATACACTAAGCTGCCGTTTGATAATGCCAGACATCTCGAAAAATCAAAACACTTCAGTTTTAGCCCTTAATCGTAGGCTAAAGATGTTATGCCTCACAATCACCTTCACTAACCCAAATGAATCTACTCATTTTGAATATATTTATTATCTTGATATATTTGACTACTTTTCATTTCCTTATGCTCCATAGACATGAAATGCATTAGACTGGACAAACAAACCTTTTTGCCAGCTATAACTGAAGTTAATTGGTGTTGAGAAACATTTTAGTTACCAACATAAAGTTACCTTTCAACTTATAGAGGGGTTAAGAGAAAAAGTCCGAAGCGTAGGTCTCGTAATGCACATTTTCTTTTCTACCATGATGTAAATATATTATAGGGGGTAACAAATCAGACCAGAATCCCGTCTAGAGAACTAAAAGTACGCGAATGATAAGCTAACCGACTGAAGCTAGTAAGGAGTTTTCTGAATGACCACTTTGGTAGCAAATGTCACCAATACGGTTAATAACTAATAACCGCCAATTCTGCCGTAAAACTCTCTCCGTACTTACTCAACTTTGTTATAAACATGCTTTTAGAGATAACAATACCTCCGTTCGAATTTTCAGGGATGGACCTTCTACCAGGAGACTCGCTTATTGACTCAGAATATGCCGATGACATAGTTCTGTTTTTCGAAGACGCTGACAAGATACAGATTCTCCTGACTCTCCTAAGCAACAATGCATGTTCGGGATGCAATTCTCTTCTTCCAAATTTAAAATGTTGCTCCAGGATAGGCTTTTATCGGCAACTAAACTTGTGATAGGGAGTGGTACAGTTGGGTGTGCTGGCCGCTTTACTTATCTTAGGAGTCCAACCAGTGCTGATGGCCAGGCGACTGACGAAATCTCAGGACGAATACAGAACGATTGACTGGCTTCTGCCAACCTGCATCATTTATGGCGTAGGAGAGATATCTGTCTACCAACCAAAGTACGAGTCTACTGCGTAGCAGTTCACTCCGTTCTACTACACAGGTATGAAACACGGCCAGTAAGAGTACAGGATAATCGTAGGTTACTGCCCTAGACCAGTTTACCAGTGCTAAGAGTAAAATTATGTGAATACACTTTAGTCAGTAACTAGTGACATCGAAGAGTTTTATTAAACTGTTGTACGAGTATAGCTGTCATAAGATAATATTAGTCAATAATAATCAATGTAGAGCCTGGAATATATGTTGGCTTAAGTTATCATACCATATCCAGTCAGTTACAATGAAGAACTTGGTAAGTAAGTACATCAGTTTAGGTTGCCGTACCACATTAGCAGAGGCGCAAATGTCAGTTCAAATCACATAGTGGAGAGAGTTGAAAAATTAGCGGTAATGGAGAATATTAGGGTTCCAAGATATGATTTAAGAAATATGATTCAGAGAGGTAAAGTTAGAAAGAGAAAGATAGAGATGGTGAGGAATTCAGGTTAGAATTTGAGAGAACACAGAGAGTGGGTTCACTTGCGTCATTGCAAACAACTTTGAGCCATCTCATTCAAAGTCTCTAACCATTTGTGACTTTCGTTTCGCGGACCCCAACCACGTAGCCTACATATACCAACATGACTCAGTCCATTTGTCAGTGACTTCATGGATTTCTGCCATGTTTTGGTCTGGCCGCTCCTTTATTCCAACCGACTCAAACACTACAAAACATCGCTCGTCGAGGTAGGTGGGCATACGTAACTCACGTCCCAAACGCCTCAACTGGTGAAGTTTCAATACTTCATTTATTGATTTATTATCCCTACCTAGTACTCGTTTCCTAACGACAGCATTTCTCACTCGGGATATATCAGCATGAAAAGTCAAAATCACCAAGATGAATATTGGAGTTGAAATCATCCAGTAATTGATAATGAGAAAGAGAGTTGATAGTACAATTGGTAAAGATATGAATGAACACTAGGATTCAAGATCTAGAGAAAGATAGAGGATGAATTCACTGAGCTATTATGATTGACTTCGAATAATCTCAACCAGTGTCTAAAACAGCTAATTCAGGGTATCGTGTGGACCCTAGCCCGTTAGTCTGTGTCGGTCAGTGTGAATCAAATCCATAGTCAACGACTTTATGAACTGATATCACATATTTATTTGACCGTTACTATTTTTCCCTCAACCTACTTCTACACCAGTATACATTGGTTGTTTGGGTATGTGTCTTAACCACTTCCATCGATGAAGATTAACAACCACACCAATTAATTTTTTACATTTGCCTAGCACCTTAAGCCAGAACCTCAAAATTGCTAAGTAGGTCTGTATCCCAATATCATGTTAGATAACACATTTGTTCACTTATTTTATATTTAGGCACAAAGAGAAAAATTTGACATGATTCGAACGTGAAACACCACCAAGAGAAATGGCATGAAACAAAAGAATGAGGCAAATAAAATGTAAGCGACATGTTATACGGAAAAAAGTTACGTAAGACCGGATGCCACCACATCAGAAACGATTATTTCAATGTTTACGTGAACAAAAATGCATATTCAACAAAACCCTGATATAAAAAACAAACCGACACTGACAAATATCTTAACACACACTAACATTTATGAAAAATAGATAGAACAAACTGTATGAAATAATACTAATGTAAAATTCGGCTGCAGATACTGAAGCTAGATTGCAAAGTTTAGCAATATGAGTGATCACCGGGCCCCTTTTGCACATGGCCTCTTGAATTGGTCCTTCACCAGGGTTTAGAACTATTAGTTCTGTAAACTGAATCCGTCTCTGAGATGAAACGCTTACGGGGTCTGAAATAGAAAGCAACAAATCAGAGTAAAGAATACGTGGAAGACTGATAGTATCGTACAGCACTAAATCGTGCTGTACTTAAATGGCATTTTTAAAGCTATTGAGTGATCGGGTGACACAAAATTTGTGATAACGAAATTTCCACTGACTGACCAAATGATCTAATCAAAGTTTTCGACCAGCAGATTTACTTTAAATATTTTCCAATTTCGTAGAGACACGTTTTTAAATTAGAATAATTTCAACAATGTTCACAGTCTGAACAACTAGGCTTTGACAAGCCATATTGAGTGAAAAATTAATAGTTATTTCATCTGTCATCTGATATTTATTTGAGTAGGACCGGCTAGTAGTTTTCATAAGTCTTCTACTTTTGTTGAAAAACCGATTTTGCACAATTAATTTGTTCAAACGATATATGTGGCAGTTTTGTGTAAAAACTTTAAGTTTAAATATAATAAAAACATTAACAACAGATGTCGATTTCTAGCACAGGGACAATGTAATGATTTGAAATACAAATAAACTGCTGCAAGAACTTACTTAGCAGTAAATTCGTTAGCTAGCTTTTTCGGTATAAAACCAGCCTTAAGAGCACTGTTCATAAATATTTCCATTAATGTGTAGGCAGCAGGTACATCTAGTTGTAAGTCCGGTAGTTCAGCATAAACACGTCTGACACCCAGAGTTAATTGGTCAGTTGTGAGAACAACTGAAGCACATAATTCCTTCAGTAAATGAATAACACGTTCACGTGCATCCTCTGTACTTATTTCGATAGCCATTATAATCGACTAGAGAGGATTAGAAAAAAAATTAAGACTAGATTAAGTGACTAAATACACTTCAAATGTGACAATTAAACACTAATACTTTGAAAATTCTTAGTTCTACAGAAACTTTAGTAGTATCCGCCAAAAACAAGTTCATAAAACTACAAGCTACTTCCTTTGTGAATTGTTAGATGAACTCGACTTCACAATAACATGCACTAAACCACTGGCCTTAATGTGTGTTACATTGGGTTATCAAACATTGAAGGCTGAATGGTATACTGAAATAATTAAGCAATTTAAGATGAAAACTGACAAACAAAACAAGGACAGTGAAGAACTGGTTATACTACTCATCCATCTGATGAACTAATAAACTTTAACTACTTAAAACTCTAAGTCCATTCAAAGTTTATAAGCTAGTGTAAACGTTTGTGGGATAGAATGTTCATTTGAAAGGTTGAGTAAAAAGAGGAAAAAAGTCAGTTTCAACTTGACTCGTCACTACTCACTAGTAAATACGTCTAACAACTATGTGTTGAGTTGATACAAAGTCACGAAAACAGGGAAATTAACCTCGAAGTTGTCTGTCGTCAATAATAAATAAAAAACAACAGCTTGAATTTACATGAGGTAATAGTTTTTGTTGCCTTCGTAGTAAAAAACTTTACCTCTAATTGAGACACAAGTGCTAAATCAAGCATATCATTTAGTATTCAACCAGTCTTAAAACCTATACTAGGTTTCTCAATATTATATTTTAAAAGGTAAAGGAAAAAATAATAACTTCGTAAAAATAAGATTTAATCATAAAGCCTATATAAATTTTTTGATCAAGGATAGTAAAACTTTGTAACCATAAGAACTGTAAAAGCAAAAAAGTATACGTGGCAAAACTCACCTGAAAAACCAGTTCATGATGAAAATGAGGAGCATCTAATTCTAATAATGCTTCAGTGGCTTCGTCAATATCATTTGAACTAATGAATGACTTTAGTAATCTTCTGATCTTTTTAACCAGCATCTTTGTAGCTTTCGGACCAGCAGGCACACCCCAAATATTATCCAACCTAGCAAAGGCATGTCGTAGAGTTAGAATGCTTTCAGCTCTATTCAGAGCCTGAATAGCTAGATCTGGACGGGCCATATTGACGGTTATCAAGCTTGATGCAGAACCAATACCACTGCTAGCAGTAGTGTCCACAGAAGCTGAGCCACCAGAACTGCTGTCACTAAAATAACGAGTACCAGGTCGAGTTAAATTTTGTGAGCTGGAATCATTTGGAGTTTTAGAGACAGTATTTTCCGGTTCGATCGATTCAGTTTGAAGGGGGCTATTAGTAAACGGAACCTGAGACAGAATAGCTTTCTGAAGTTCAATAAATTTAGGAGGAAGGATATCATCAGCGACTGCTCTTGCTATAAAACGCCCAATATACTAAAACAAAAAGGATGAAAAACTGATTTTTTAAACGTTTAGATGAAAATGGAAATACGTATTATCCGTAATCGAAAAGCTGAATAGTGGTGACGATTTTCTTCGCAGTAAAGTTAATAAATTAATGGCGTTATTGCAATGAATACGCACAACTGGTAGAACTAATGTAGAAGACGAGACAGTATTAGTTCCACACATTAGATCCTTAAATTTATAGTGCGAAATAAGGCACATAAATGGGGCATTCTGGCAGGTCTACGATTTTATCCCCTAAATATGACAATGCCTCATGACCAATCACGTATTTTGTAGGGTACTATGAGTTACATTTTAGTGAACGTTATATAGAGGTAACAGCTCTAACACATTCCATATACTCTTCTACGTTCTAAGCACATCATATATTTCAAGATTAAAAATGAGGTGCTTATCAATTAGTTAGTCTAATTGTCTTGTAAAGTTTTTCTCTAATGGAAATGTAGTAATTGGTTTACTTTAACATCCATATTGAAGTGATACTTGGTAGTTCAGGACAAAGTTGACAAATGTATTTTATACTTATTTTAGATAAAACGAAATGAGATCATGGAAATATTCAACGAAACTTCAAAAACTAAAGGTCAAGATGAACAACAATAATTACAATGACAAAGGTTGGCAAAAGCCAATCGGAATTTCTGTATTCGTGCTGAGAATTCATCAGTCATCAGGCCGTCAGCACTGATGAAACTCCCGAGATAAGTGAAGCGGTCAACAAGGTCAACTGCTTCACTCCCTATCACTACTTCAGGTGCCAACGCAAGTCAATTTTGAAGCAACATTTTACATTTCGAGGGTGAGAACCGCATCCCGAACATGCTTGAATTGTTGCTTAGGGTAGTCAGAAGACTGCATTTTGTCAGCGTCTTCACCGAATAGAACTATGTCATCGGCATATTCTAGGTCAATAAGCGATCCTCCTTGTAGTCTTGTCAGTGACTTTGTGGATTGTTAACTTAGAAAAAGTTCATAGGCTTTAGTGCGTCAACTTTTGTGCGGAACGCATGTACTTTATAAACCTGTCCGTCAAATGAAATCACAATATTATATGCAACGACATTGGGAATAGGCAGTTCTAAAACTAACATTTAATTACAAACTAGTAATGAATGTCAGCTGATGTAGAGACAGTTATTGAAGCCAAGTAGTTTAGGAAATATGTTGTTTCACTTGAAAAGAGAGATATTTAATCTAAGTAATAGTGAAAACATACACTTATTGATAAGTAAGTGGATCAGATGGAATTTTGAATGTTTAAATAAAACCTAGGTCATACTTCTAGTTATTACCAAACATAAATAAGATGAAGCACATTAAGGGAAACTTTTAAGAAGTATTTGTGTAAAACAAGCTTATCTAACAGTTTAGTACAAGTTTTCTTGTGAAGTTTGTGGCTAGAGTTATTTACAGAAACCTTAGAGTTAAAAAATATATCAACACACTTACTTCAGGCGCTTTAGGAACATCAATAATGAGATCACCAATTTCATTGAAAACAAGTTGGAATCCTTGTTGAATGTGAGCGTGATTGAGGACTTTGCCAGACATATCTGACAGCAATTCCGACGTTAGCTCGCATTGTGTTTGTCGATGTTGAATAGCAAGAGTGATAGCCAAATATGGAATTTGACGACGATGATGCGCCGCAAGATTGACGTCTGAAAGAGCATCCTGAAAGAATATTGAGTAAGCTTAATGTAAAAGCTATTCCCACAAATTTACTGTAAGATGAGCAAATCAAGGGAAATGTTTTATCGTAGTAACTGAGTGACGTCACGGATATGGTAAACAAAGTCGCTAACGGTGGTATCATGATAAAATACAGTGAAGATCTTGTCATTACCCCCATTATAATGAGATAGGTTTTCTCAATCGAAATTATTTCTGTGACTGAATTTCCAACTAAGCTGTATCTCAATAGTACCTATTTTTTATTGGCCAATCACTTTTGAGCTAGTGCTGGTCCCAAGCCCAGATAAAAGAGGAGGGATGGGTCTGGCAACCCCGTTCTGAAAACTAACTCGCCAAAATACACTAACGAGAAAAAAGTAATTCAAACTATTTAAACCCTGCTCTGGGAGTTAGGCCTTCTTTCAGAAGAGTTATGACGTCTCATAATGAAAGCCGAGCTCCGTCGGATGTCACAAAGCCGATGCCCCTCCACAGTGTGGGCAGCCGTACACCCTCATAGCTATAAAAGCAAACGAGACCAAATCGATCAGAATCAGGTCCTTTTCACATCTAACAACAGCAAGTTTTTACAACATACTTGAATACTATTCGACTTGATGATTTCGAGTGAGAGACAGGTATACCAAATTTATGGCTAAATGTTTTGTGGGTACAATTATATCTATGGTTACCGGAGTTATGTTAATATATACCAGAATCGTCTGGAGCAATTTGACAAGACAACCAGTATACGTGTGTTATTTTTCAGTTGCATTTCAGGGACTAATCAAACGACTGTATATATAAATGTTACAAAACTCAAATGTTTTTCTTGATAATCCACAAAGAAATATGACTTATTAACTGTAGAGGTCTGGTTTTCATCAAACGTGTTTCAGTTCACACATTGAACCAGAAAAATATCAAGAAGTGACGAACTAAGTTCAGAAAAATGCAAGGTCACATATGACATGGCCGCTCTTAAGAGTGAATTAAAAATATCAAAGAACTGACGGTGTTGCTCTCTGACCTGATAAAATGAAACTTTAGTTATGTGAGAACATTTATAAGTGAACAAATGAGGTTAACTACGTATAGTGAATGCTGAACTAACTGCTAAGATTAACTGTAGAACAATAAGTGAAAGTTTAACGCAGTAAATTACTTACAATAACCTCCTGAGTTTTGCCGTGTATGAAAAACTCGCTCATCAATGATGAGAAAGTCTTTTCGAATTCGTCATCAGGCAGGGTTGGTTGGAATTCATCAAACGTTACGGGTGCCTAAACTAACATTTATCATAATGGTGAGACTTACATCCTCATCAGAATCAAAGTCTGGATCTTCAGGGTCCAGCTCAATCTCATCCAGAACGTCAGTAGGATCGTCATGCTTTCCACCCCCTACAATTGCGAAACCTTTTTACACAAACCTACGTTTACTTGGCAATTTGCGTCCATCGCGAGATTTTTTGCTATTCTTCCCGTAAGGCAGACGATTACCAGAGAGCTGGACTTTGTGAAGTGCAGCTGTTAATGCATGCAAGTCAGAAGGAACGCCATCGATTGTAAGACCATTTGTACCAGAATGGCTGAATGAAGCAGAGTGATAGCGTTTCTTCCTAGCATGTGGAAATAAAGGGCACTTTTGAGATTTATCAAACGATGGTGGTGGCCATATCATTTCCCCTGCTGACTCCTCACCGCTTGCAGCACCTCCATCTCCAGACAAAACAGCTGGCACTTCCTTGGGCATTTATGAGGTATTTACCCCTGCTTCTGATGGCGGAGAATGGGATGAGGAAGATCTGCAGAGTTGCTTTTGTTGACTATCTGACCAGTGACTGTAATGATCTTCTCAACAAAAATTAACGATCTGCAAAATAAAAGATCAAGGTGCAAGTGGTTAAGCAGTCGTCCAAAGTGCATACCGAAACAGCTTCAACCAGTAAATACAACTATGTACTACCCTCGAGGGCGAAGACATTAAAGACTGTTTCATGATACACAGACGCATCTGCGATTTCTAACCATACCATACTTATGGGATGAATTTAATATGTAGTCTGTGAACCTATACATTTTTTTCATAAGCCAGTTCGATGATTTGGAATAAGTATTGATAACAGAAGCACAATAATCTTATAAATTGTGCCCAAGCAGTACGATAGTAAATTTCGCTTTATCAAGATAAGTGTCGATAAATTCGCGTAATACAAACTGTCTTATTACAATAAAAGGTGATTTCTCTGAAATAAGAACACTATTCAGAAAAGAAAAAGTTGAGAATGACCAGTAGTGTGACAGACAACCGGGCCCATTTACCTGAACAATTGAAAGGGCGCTCAATTAGGTATGATTTATATTGAGTAGTTATAATAAACCACTAAGACAAAGAAGAAAGAAATTTGACAAGTTTGCCTTTTTCAGTATATTTTAACTATTAATTCATACAAGTAAGTAGAAAAAGATATCTTTGGCCAAAGTACAACGTCTGAGTGAGGTTTTGGGAGGTGTGCATCGAATTTCAGGAAGCAGAAACGTAAAACGAATTTATGAAATCGCTGTTTTAAACATATCCATGGTGACTAGAAAGATTTTAACTGTAAATGAGTCTCCAAAATAAGTCTCTACGTGGGCTTTTGACAGTGAATCTAACAATATTAGTTTTACGTGACATTACACTATCTGTAGGCACTAGGTCAGTATTCTACAAGATACTATGTTTTGGTGTGCTAATTTAGACAGTGTGTGCTCCACTATCTCCTCAAAAAACCATTAGGATCTCTGTCGAAGCATCAGTGAACGATACATGTTATTTTTAATGAAGCCTCCTAAATGTAGGTTTTAAAAACGGGGCAGATGCACTGAAAAACATTTTGGAAACAATGGAAAAGCTTTGTTCTACAGGATAGTCTGGAGCTATCTTCAAGAAGCTTTAAATTACCATTGGGATAAATAAGAGAGGATGCGATAAAAACGGGACGAAAAATTACTTCACTGATAGACGGTTATGGATAGATGTGAATCCGACTAATAAAGTTTTGTAGACTTGATTTTCCATGTTCTACCTTGTTAAAGAGTGTTTTTCAATTAACGACAGTAAACTGTTTTCTTTGATCAATCAGATAGATAGAGTAACTACGTAGAATTACTGCTCATAACCAGAACCTGAAAATGCATCTGTCCATAACAACTTTCCAATCGAGAATACTTGAACTTAGGTAAACGAGAAGCCACCAATAAGGAAAGCCAAAGGTACCTTCGGAAGATAATCGGGCTGCAGAGAGGTGAATAGTCTTAGCCGGCTAGTTGCCCTGAAGGGATGCATAGCATGGAGTATTCATTTCTGCTCTGATGTGGATGTGCGTTATGGCACCCTCGGGTAAAGTATGTCCAGTGATAATTATGAGGTTAGCACAAATTTCGATGGAGAACTGTTTGCCGCTACAGCTCACTCTTCTCTTAGTTACACCCGACATGCATGATAATAAAAACAATCGCGATAGCTCGCCCCGTCCAAAAGCGCCTGGTAGGCTTTTATTGCTCTAGCGAGTTACAGGGTACATGAAGAACAAAATTACTTTGTAAATGTTCGATTCATTATATTGGACTTTTAATATTCGTAATACTCAGTCGTTCTAATGAGGAGAGATGTAAATTTACATGCATTCCGAAAGGTAGTTATACTGATGTATGCAAGCGAACTGAGCTCAAAAATAGATATATACGCGTGTACAAACCATGCAACAGCGGGAAAAATTGTAAGCAATACATTTTTTGAGAGCTTCAGTCAGCTGTGGTACTTTGGCAGCTGTAACTGATGCTTTGAGTTGTTAAAAAAATGGTTCTACTAATTAGTGTCTTCTTTTGGGAGCTAGGCTAGTATACAGAGGTCAGTTACTCGGAATATGTACCGACTTTGTTTTCACTGATACCTGCAAACGAACCCATGTACTGCTTCTTGATATCTGTAATAATTCTCGCAAAATCACACCTCTAGAATACTCGTAACATAGGATTTATAAGGATCCATACTGATCCATGTAGGGAGATGTCTGAGAACACATTCCATCTAATCACGTGTACTCCATAACTTTTCCTTACTGGTTATAACGGAAATATTAGTCAAGAAAAAGCCCATATTCATTACAACACCGATTATATATTGAATAAATGTGCACCCTTAGGATCCTGGAGACCCAGAATTCCTAAGGACTTATATATGCTAGGTCATATACTAAAACGTCTTCGAAGACATGCTTCCAGACTTCATAACCGTAGTGACTTCTCCTCATCAGTAGTGATGACTGAAATATGTGTTCAGGAAGAGATAATACGAACTAAAAAGACAATTGCACAGGAAAAGCGTGCTGTTCAGCTGGACAATGAATCCTCCTTCGAAATAAACTTAAAGGATCCAAAGTGAAAGGAGGGAGTATATTTATTAAGGACAACCAAGTATATGACTATGCTTAAAGTATCGCAGAGCTGTTTAGAGAACATTTTTGTGCTTCAGCAATAGGTCTCAACATACATAAAGGAAAAAGCAAAATTCTCCGATGCAACACAACATGCACCAAACAAATCACGCTTGATGGAGTTGCCTTGGAGGTCGTTAACACCTTTATATATCTGGGCAGCATCATCGACAAACAAGGCGGATGTGAGGGCGCGGATCGGTAACGCAATGGCTGCATTTCTACAGTTGAAAAATATCTGGAACTCCAAACAATGAACACCGAAATCAGGATTTTCAATACAAATGTGAAGACAGTTCTACTGTATGGAGCGGAAACTTCGAGAACTACGAAATCCATCATCCATAAAATACAAGTGTTTATTAACAGTTGTCTACGCAAAATACTTCGTATTTGTTGGCTAGACACGATCAGCAACAATGTACTGTTGGAGAGAACAAACCAGATTCCATTGGAGGAGGAAATCAGGAAGAAGTGGTGAAAGTGGATAGGACACACTGCGATAAGCACTGAAGCCCTCACATGGAACCCTCAAGGCAAAAGGAAAAGAGGAAGGTCAAGGAACACATTGCGCTGAGAAGTAGAGAGGAGGAGGAATGAACAAAAATTGGACAGAACTAGAAAGGGAAGCCCAGGTTAGAATTGGTTGGAGAAAACTGGTGGGCGGCCTATGATCCATTGGGGGTAACAGGAGTAAGTAAGTAAGTTTGAGCTACATTAACAAACGAAAACCCAACAAATGAATCACATCTGACCCAAATTCCTTCCTGTGAAATCGCTAGTGTTAACTTTAGTGTACAGAACATTTCTAAGGTGAGTAGAACACTGAAACACTCTTACATTGAAGGATCAGAGGTTATCCTAGCCAGCATGCTGAAAAATGGGAGCAATGATCTTTATGCTATTCTTCTTAAACTGTTTACTATATCACTATTTACAGAGTGTTACCCTACTAACTGGAAGACTACACATGTCATTCCCACAATTAAATTTGGGCCTACAGAGAATGTTGAATGTTTCCAATCAATAAACATAACTTCAGTAGTATCTAGGGTGGTGGAGAAAGCAGTTAACTACGAGGTAATGCAACATCTACTTAGTAACAATCTGATATCGACCTTACAGGGTTCTTGAAGTCTAGGTCGTGTGATACATGCCTGCTAGATTATTTCAATGATATCACCCAAAAGCAAGACAAAGGGCTTTTAGTATCAGCCCTGTGTAGAATCCTTTTTGAATGTTTTGTTTTTTGGAAAATCCCTCCATGTTTACATATTTTTGCTATGACATGACGGACTTTTTCTGTTGACATTTTTGGTATTTTATTTGATTCCAATTTGAGATTTTATCATTGTTTATTGTTATTCTTTCTATATTTTGTACTTATATTGAAGTTTTTGTGTTTGCTTCTGAACTGTACATATGTTGTTTAAATTTGATATAATATGGCTACCGCCACATTTTTGGACTGACGCAGTGGCCGCTGGACTTAGCGTCACTTATTTGTTACTGTGTCTGATACTCTGCGGAGTAACTGAACCCTGGAAGAAGCACTATTTCCAGGTAATGCTTTGTATTTCCATTTTTTTAACTAATACAGACGCTTTCTCCTAGAATTTTGTCCTTTTTGAATTGGTTGGGACCCGGAACTGGGAAAAGCGTACAGGAGTGCCTCTATTGGAACCCATTGGATCGGCCACTGTAGAAATATAAATTACAGTCTGGAAATATTTCTATCAACGATTATATCCTGGAATTATCTATTACGATTACAGTTGGATTATTAAGAATTATAAAGAAACATTTGGAATTTTAATCGTTTATCACACTAGACTTTCTTGGAGGAAGAAGTTTGGATTATTTATCATATTCCGAAACTGAACTGTGGAATTACTATATTTTGTATTTGTTACCTTTCTTATTGAACTTCATTTATGATGTCAAACAGAAAAAAATCACACATGAGGAGGGTGGAAGAGCTCGACGGATCACAGAGCTCTAGGCAAGTCGTTAATGATGAATTTTTTATGGGTAACCCACATGTTATGTCTGATATTTATTATTGTAAGTCACCTTTGGCAGGCATTAAGGAACCAGGATTAAGTGAGAGTTCTAAAGTACCAGAGACCGATCAGATACGAAAGACATCGATAGAGGGTTTAGAACTACCTAAGGTCGAACTTTCATATTTTGATGGAAGGTCTCGCGACTATTTTAGGTTCATGCGTCAATTCGAAACGTTTATAGAACCCCGAATAAAAGATGACCAAGTTCGTTTATTGTATTTAATTCATTATTGTAAGGGAAAAGCAAAAAATGCGATTGAAGGCTGTATTATTATGGATCCACAATCAGGATATAAGAGAGCTAAGGCCATTTTAAAACAGCTCTTTGGACAGTCGCATGTAATAGCCCGAGAAACCTTAGAGGATTTATTTAGAACTGGGAATGTAGATTTTAATGATCCTGAATTATTGACGAATTTGGCTATTAAAATGCAGAATGCTGCTTTAACCTTAGAACAGCTAAATTGCACAACGGAACTTAATTCCATGGTTACTTTAGAACGAATAGTCAGGCTCTTACCTCGTCGAATGCAAGCCCAGTGGGCAGAGCTAGTAATCAAGTGGGACGAAGAGGAGAGAGAGCCTAATTTCAATGAATTGACGGAATTCATTATGTCTCGTGCTAAGATAGCTAGTAGTAGGTTTGGAAGATTAGCTTATCAGGTTAAAACAGGAAATAATACGGAAGCTACTAGTGGTCTGCGTGCGAGACATGAGGATTTTTCGTTTCTACCTAAAGCACGCTCGGAAGATAAGAGATTTGTCAATTATATCACGAAAGCATACGCTGATGAAGGACGAGTCAGTCAGTCAGTCAGATGCAACGTGGAAGCTCGTATGTAAGTACATCAGTTTATGTTGCCATACCACATCAATTCAAATCCAATAGTAGAAAAGGTAGTAAAGGTATTAGAAGTAATCGGAGAGGTTAGGATTAGAAGATATTATTCATGAAGTATGATTACATGAGAAAAGTTTAGAAAGTAAAAACTAG